TGCACTGTTTTTGGAAAACAGAGATATAATAATAACAGCAAAAACATATTAAAATTCATATGTGTATATTGCATCTGCTAGGTAGACAGACCATGAGGCATCTAATCTGGTAAAGAAAATTTGAAAGAAGTGTGACTCTTTGCATTCTACCATTTTTACAGTAATGAACAGGTTATATGAGACAGATGGCAAGAAAGGTTTCTAGCAGAGCTTACAACAAACAGCCAACATGAAAATATGCTGTGGGTACTCTTCACCAGAATTATTTGCCTTCTTTCTGCTTCCCTCTATGTGCTACATGACCACCTGCTCTGTCTTCTCTTAAAATGGATCACTTAGAACACTGGCATCTGCGTGCAAATTAATGTAGCTGAATAATTTATCGCAATTCATGGATGTCAAATTAGGTGATTTAATATTTTCTGGAGTTTAGGGCTAGTGTGCTTTTATCTGTTGGGCAGTGCTATGCACAATTCATTTATGAAGTCTCAGCATCTGCACCAAGGTTGCAGTTACAAAATAGTGCAATTCAGCTGTGTGTGCACCAATGATGTGGAATTATGTCAGGGCAGCTTTTTGCTTTTATTTCCTGCTCTGGGTGCTTTAAACTCATTGTGGACAGGAAAATCTTATTAGTTTATCTATGTAGATGCATCAAGGACAGGCTACTGGCTTCTGGACTGAGGAAAAAAAAAAGATTAATATTCAGATTATACATGCTCTTTTACATCATGTCCTATATTCAGTGTTGATAGTTATCCAGCACATTTCATTCTAGCACAGTCAAAGGATATATGGACTCACAATGTAAAAACAGTTTTAGAACTGTCCAAATTCCTTCAAAAGGAATTTTGAAGACAATGAATGCTTTTAGAAGAAACCTTTTAGGAGTGGGGCTGGTAGAAAAAAGAGCAGGAGGAAAAATAACAGTGTTACCAGGACAAATATAGAATAAAAAATGTTGATGGTTTTCCTTTTTTGTCTCTTTAAATATGTGTCTTTGTGCATCATCCATTAGGCAGGCAAATTAAATTAATTTTTAATTGTTAATCTGTTAATTAAAGACCTCTGGATTCTTAAGCAGTTGAGTAGATAATGTGCTGTTAAAGAAGATAGGGGATAACATGGTGTTGACTCAGTTTTCACTTGAATTTTCACATCCTGTGAAACAACAACAACCAGTCCTTACAGAGATTCAGCCCTGTGCTCCTGCCAGTGATATTTGCTACCTACTTGAAGTCTTTGTGACTCTTACATTACCTGTTCTGGCTTCTTGGGAGATAAAATCTGCAGAACAGTTATGTAAGTGGGTATCCTAACATTTCCCTTAAACCTTAAAATCTGCACCACACATAAAACATTTTCTTTCTATTTGAAATAGTCTGAAATTGGCTATGATTTAAAATTAGTAGACCATGGTATTCTGTCTTTATTATGATGTGAGGTTACTGACCCTTCAGTAACAGCCCTGCTGGGATTTCTGTAATGTTCTGATATGTGAAAAAGTCTTTGTTGTTGTTGTTTTCTTTTTGGCACCATGACTTTCAGAGTGAATTTCTTTCTATGATTATAAACACACACTATCTAAAAATCAATTCCAGTGTAGGACTGACATTATCTGATTGAAGAAAAATTAAGGCTAAAGTTTATCTGAACACCCAAGACAGTCAACATTTGCTTCAGACAAATAGAACCCATCACCAAATCTTAGAATGCTGGAGGAAATTTGGTAAGAATGAAGAAATTCCTTTCTAACATTAAGGAAAGTTTTAAGAACACATAATTTAACTCAAGGATAGTGTGGAACAGTGAGCCCACTGATACTAGCAGAGTCTGGTTGATGCAGATTTACTCTAGTGATGATGTGAAGAATGTAGCAACAACTATCTTTGTAAACGTAGAATGGATTTTTGGTAGAGGATGGTGCTCAGAGACCGTAATTCTGACCAGCTGTGTTGCAAAAGGTTGGTCTGAGGAGTGGGAGAGTGGAACACAGTAGCAGAAACTGCATCAAGGAACAAATAAAATCCAAAGCCTTTTTGCTAATTTATGTAAAATTTATTAAAAATTTTCAGTAAAAAGTCTAAGCAAGTGATCAAACAAATTAAGAATTCTGCTACTGTATTTAAAAAAAATCCAACAAACCCAAACTGTTTGAGCTTTTAATTTGAAATATTTCTCAATGCTCTTCAATTTTCAAGCACTAGACTAAACAAAGATTGCCAATTAGAAGACCAGCACGAAATAGTTTTGACTCCAAACATTTTTCCCATGCATGTTAGATTTTTGAACTCTAATTATGCCCCAGTTTTGCATGTTTTAGTACATAAATCAATCATGATATAGCTGAATTTGAAACTTGAAGAGCTCACTTGAAAAAGACTGAGCTCAATAAGCATCTTTAAGCCTAATACTATTATGGGCTTCTGATAAATAGAATAAAAACCTAAATCTCTGAGGTATTCTACAGCCTTCCTTTCAAAGGTTTCAAAATGCTTTTCTAACAACAGTAATAACATAATCCTAAAACACATTTGTGAGTTACTTGTCTACAGAAAAGGTCAATACTTGTCACAGCAAAGTAATTGACTTCCTCAAGGCCAGAGAGCAAAACTGCAGGAGAGGGAACAAAAGAAGCCATTCACTGCACCTTTGCCATCAGATGGGTCTGCCCATCAGGCTGTATCCACAGCACTGGCCTGGAATAGCTAAAAGCGGTGTACAAAGGTTGCCAACTGGTCAACTCCCAGTGCTAGAGGTAGAAAATACTTCCAAATTTAGCCAAAGTGATAAAATGTTCCAGATGAGCACTTTGCAATTGTCCTTTATGAGTCTGAGGTTCTTAAGCAAAATGTTCTGTTAACAGCTACACCATCCTCTGGCACTTGGCCATTCTTGCTTATAATTCTGCTACCTATGTACAAAGACACATTACAGGAAGATTAATATTTTTCTGACTGATGAAGCCTCTTAAGTGTGAGGCCAGTGACCAGCTAGGACAGCCTGTTCATATCCATTACCCACACTATGCTGAGATGTGCAAGAATTAATCAGTCCTTTTACAATTCAAATTCAAAGGCAACCCTAGCTGGGAAGAAAAGTAGCATACTAGCATGAATGAAGTAGAATCAAAGAAAACCCTTAAGTCTAAGAAATGGGAACAAGTAGGGATGATAGGTGACATACTACATGGCAACATGAATAGGGATATTTACAAAATCTAGCTTAAACCTACTGAAGCTAATGAGAAAGGCACTTTTCTTAGCTAAAGGACAGATATAAAATCCTCTCCAGTGTGATTACTAGCACAAATTAAACTTAGCCATCATTATGAAGGAACTAAGGCAGTGTATCTTCCCTTTGCGAGTCTCATCCTTCACTTTATCACTGCTACAGAGTTTATGTCATGGGGTTTTATTAACTTGTTTCCTTGGAGTCATGTTTGCATATTTCCACAGAAATGTCCTTGCTTGATCCCTCTGACATTTTACAGGAAAACACAAATGTATGAAACAAGGAGCTCATAGCCTTCTTTCTCATAAGAGCAGCATGTCCCATTCTCAGAAGAATGAATTCAGCTGCACCAGCCCAAGTGGAACATCAGCAGCATTTCACCATGCCAGCTTCCAAACTTAGGACTTTAGAGATTTTAACAGAACAGTTGGACTAGAAATGATTAATTTATGATCATCATTTACCCTAAATTGGCAGGGAAGTGTGAAGAAAAAGTCAGCTCAGATTTACTCTCCAGGTGATCTAAAAGCCTTGACAGCACCAAGATCTTGAGTTGGCAGGTGGGCTGCTCCTTCCAACAGGTTTGGAATTTCACCCTCTGATTTTGGGTTTGATGCTTGGAAGCATGCTAGTTAAAAATACTTCTTTCTGTCTGTCCATGGTTAGGCAATACTAAAAGTTTTTAGCCGTTCTTTTGAGAAATAAAACTCTGGTAGGGAAAATAAATGAAAAAAGCTGGGATTATCGGTACAGAGCTGATGGAAAATATGTCTTACCATGTCAACTAAAATATACACACTTTATAAATTATGACTGCCTAAAAATTGGAGACACCATACATCAGAATCTTTTTCAAGCAGCTTTTGAATTAATTTTTCTCTAACCCTGCAACTTAGTTAGTATCATCTCAATATTCTACCAATTAAACACCCTTGTATCAAAGTGACTTTCCTGATCCTGCAATAAAATTACATGGGATGACCATCAGCAATTTGTTATAATGTTAATATATCAAATCCACTACAGTTTGTTCTGTTACTGTACAAATAACAACTTGTCGCACAAAGAGAAGAAAAATATTAACACAAACAAAAAAAAAGGCACCTGAAAGTTAATTTCTAAATGTAAATTCCAAACAAAATTATGATCCTAAAAATAAAGAAAGAAAACACAAAGTGTCTTATGGAGGGAGAATTTGGAGATACTTGTTGTTTACAGCAATATTTTGTCTTCTTATAAAAATCAGCTTGGAAACTCTTTTACTTCCAAAATAAAGAGCAATCCACATTACGTGCTAAAATTACCTTTGCTAGAACCAAGTGACTTAACAGAAAAGACACTATCTAGAATTTTTTCGTGCAAAAGCAAATAGCTAAGAAAGCTTGCTAGGAGGTAAAAATGTAATGGGAAACAGCATATTCATTTTTTGTTGGATGGTTCTTTGGAGTAAACAAAACTCATCCTCATCTCTTTACAAAGGAAACCCCAAACAATCTTACTGCAATTTAGTGGGCGAGGTAATTAGTACAATGAAAAGAATTAATAAAAACATAATTTTAATTATTTATTAAGTGTGGTATCTCTTTAGGAACACAAAATTAACAACATAATATATATTTGGAAATCTGCATCTAATTTATTCAGCAATTTTGTGAGGAAAAACTTCCCGCATACTTGTTCAAAATATTAAATTAAGTGCCTTCTATACAAACATGTTTAAAGATTACCAGATAAAGGAATAACAGAAAAAAAGCCTCAATACTCACATTTAGTTTTAAGCTGCTTCTCTTGGTAACTTGTGGGACAAAATAAAGGAAGAAATAATTACATGTCTATACAGAAAAAAGCATTCATCAAGTCCAAAAGAAACAGAACACTTTGCCAGAGCTATTTGAGGGTCCCATCAGAATTTGCCTGGATGAGGGAAGGCTGAGGGTCAGTTTGTTTCCCTAAGACCTCATGACATGCAAATATCTGGCTGCCTCACCACTGAATCAAATCATTCTTTGACATACTGTGTTTACAAACTGCAAATACATACCATGTAGGAGGTTCTTAAAGGAACATATTTCTGAGAGTTCTCGAAAGGAAAAAGGCATTTCTGTTAAAAAACAACCGTTCAGAGCAAGGGGAAAAAAGAAAGTAAGATGGAACATTATTCATCCCCAGATACACACTGGTTAATGCATAATGAATCCGAAAGGCCTCATGTGGGCTTGTAACTCAGAAAATTAAAAGAAAAGTTGCAATTACTAAAGTCTGATTGTTATATACAGGAAATGGGGGGGCAGGGAAAAAAACCTCCTCCAGTTTCAGGAAAGATGTTCAGGGACACGGCAGAACTCAGAAGTTCTGACACATCTCAAACATTTTCTGGGCTGCTACAATTTTCTGCTTTCCAGCAGGTGGGAAGGTATTCACACAGGATTACCATCAGTGTGGCAGCAATGGACTCCTCTAGGCTCTCTCTCTGTATTTCCCAATCCTGGATTTTGAGTCACAGCCACCTCCTTTACCTTCTGCTTAGACCCAACAGGGGCCAGCTTTCACAGACAGGCTCCTGCACATACACAGCATTCAGAGGTCCTTATACTTTGCATATGACTCTATGCAGACCCTTAGTCAAATACAGCTGAAAGTAAGGATATTGTGTCCATTTAAAATAGCAGGCAGAAGTTAGGCAGAGTAAAGAAAGGATGGCTGCTTGTGGTATGAACCACAACTGACCTCAAGGCAGATTTTTCCACAACCAAGAGCCAATAGATCTGAATCACTTGGTCTGTAACGTCAAGTGGGTGGGAGCTGTTTTGTATCAAAGATAGAAGGACATGTTTGAATGGTTTAAATACGTATTATGTTATCTGTGTACTTTGGTAAAATTGCCAAATCTGGGCATGTTCTGAAGGTTAGCTGTGTCTCACAATTAAGACTGATCCTCTGACTACTATTGCCAAGACCTGATGATCTCTGCTTGTGGTCTTGTTAAACCTCTCCAGACACATAGCCACTACTTAGACAAGAGTGATCTCTTTCCTCCTGTTGTAATTTCTGCTATAAGCTTTATTTATATCAAGCACCTTTCACCTGGGATTTTAGCAGATTGATGAGAGAGAGGAGTTAGATGTTAATCTGAGTCTAGAATGAGAATCGTAATGTTTTCTTTTGTCTTTCCTTCCAGAAAGAAAAAACCCTGATAGTATAGTTCTTAACCAAGTACCTTTTCAAGTTCATAAACCCAATGCAGACAGAAGTATTTCCAGAGCAGATCTGTTGAGAGAGCTAATGACACTTAGAAATACTAACACAATATGTTCTTTCTGTCAAGGGCGAGAAGTTCAGACACATCCTACAGCACATCACTTTCCTTATGCTTCAAAGACTACCCTCAAATTTGTCTAAGCTGTAGATAGAGATAACAGCTGTATTAATAGAAGACAGGCCCAGAGAAACCTCTGAATCAGAATCAGTTTTTTTTTCCAACAGGTACAAGTACAAATGAGGAGGTCAGCAAAATCCTGTTGTTTCTTCTGACTACCAGCTAGATGATGTCTCTTGCAGTTCCTGTAACACTTCCTGATCTTCCTGAAATACAAAGAAGCTTATTTTATCTCTTTATCTCTTATTTTATTTCATCTCCCAACACAACCTGTCTTGACCTACCTTTCTCTTCATGTTGAGAGTTTGGGAAATTCATCAAGCAAATGGTGGTCCTCTTTAAACTACTCAAGTTATTTGTTCCAATTTAGAATATTCATTTTTTAAAGAATAAAACCTCAAAGAGATAGCATTACTTAACAATTCCTAAAAGAAAGACCTTGTTTTCCTGACCATATATCTTCGGCATTTACTGAGTATGTTTTGTTATTTGGGCTAGCATAGAGTATCCATAATGAAGTAGAATTGGTCAAAACATTTGGGCAGCATGTATTTGCTCACTCAAAGGAAAAATACTACATGTTTTGTTCTTATATTCCTCTCTAAGCACCCGCTTTTGACCTCTGCTGGAGACACAACACTGGGCTACACTGACCTTCAGTGTGACCCACCACAGTCACCAGTATTCTGTCATCTGCAAGAGTACCAAACTTCCTGCTAAACAAGAAACATCAATCTACCAGATTTGTAGATATTTCCATTTTCTTGGCCTACTGTTACTTACTAGGAAAAACATTCAGGGATCAACCACAGCTTGAGTAGCCTTACTCACGAGCCTACAGAAAACAGAACTACTATAATTTTATCTGAACAAGCTCTGAGATGGACTCATGCAGACAACAAAATCCAATGATATTATTTAGAAACCTGTGCCAATTTTTTTTAAGAAGCTGTGCAATGAGAGTTGAAAGTTCTAACAGAGCAACAATTTGCTTAATTCCAGCAGATCTGCAAGTAACCAACTACAAAAGTCATCCTTTGTCACTTAAAAAGAAGGAAAGGCAAGGCTGTTGCTGAGACAGGTATTATTCTACCTGTGGCTAATTCATCCACTCCAATCTGACAGTAGCAGCGAACAAAATTATGAGAACATTTTTAAGTGGTTGTATAGGCAAATACATGCATCTATGCATGTCAGTTCATGAGATTAAGTATATATACTTAATATGTATACTTATACTATATATGAGTTTATGAGATGGTGTTTCGACACCATAATCAAAGATGAGAGGCTGACATTAGCACTTGAAACCAGAGTAAAAGTGTTAATTTGTATACTTTGTAGTGACTTTCATTTTCCTAGATAATCCAAAGGGCATTTTTGTTTTGTGAACTGCACCTCTGATTTTTAAGACAAGATTACTTTTCTTTCCACATACATTCCTCCTAGGGAGAGGAAAAAAACCTGTGAATTAGCAAAATTCCTTTTCTTTCTCTTTCAGATGTTATACTTCTATATCATAAACTAAAGACTGAATTTCCAAATCAAGAAAAATTCCTGAGACACTTTTCCAACCATATCTCCTTGAATTCTGTTAGTAGCCAGAAGATATAGCTGAACTGTAGTGCTTCCATTGCATCTACTTCAAAGAATCCATTTTTTTAATCCTTCTTATAACATAGGCTGGAATATAGCAAGTTCAACACATGATGAAGTAAATTCTGTAGTAAGTTCATTATAATAACAGCATAAAACTGTATCAAACAAAAATACAGGAACACTCAGAACAGTGTGTTAAGTCTAACTGTGCATATTACCTATTGCTGTTTGAAAGCTGCAAATTGCAAGATGATCAAACACTGGTGAAGTCAAAAGAATGCTCTTCAAATACTTCATCATTTAATGTTATTAAAATAATTTCTCATTTGCATACAGAATTTCATATAGCATATTATTTACAAGAGAACTCAATGTCATATAAAATTGTTTACATTCATGATAGGAAATTATTAATTATTCTGGCTAAATAACACAAAATCAAACCTAGTCCCTGTATACAAACTATTTTTTAAAGTTCAACAACCTGAATATTTTCCACCTTTTCCTCACTCTCTTTTACTGTCAGCTGTTATAACCTCCCGCCAAGGAAAGAGAAACAACTTTTTTTGCTTGTGCCTTACAATTCCAAACTGTTCTTGCCTTATGGATGATTAAAGATCAGCATTGGCATGAACATTGTTAAACGTGAATTACTGCCTTTTAAATATGTGCAAAACTCAATTGTTTACATTACCTAAATTATCCTAACATTTGTTACTCTGTTACTGGGGTTCCATGCCTGGCCTCTTCAACTTTCAGTAGCTGCAATTTCAGGCTTGGATATGTTTATGATTAATTCATAATATGAACAAATAACAATTCACACATAATATGTGAATTGTTGGAAAACAGAAAAATTTCAATGGAGCAGAATTTGCACAGAATTTGCCCTCTCTGAGCATCAATTTTGGCAAGGATGGGTGAACATTTTTGGTGAAAAGAATGCTTTTCATCTCTTATTAATCAACCTTGATGATATGCAAATACCCTGAAAGTACATGCATGAAATCAATGGGTATTACTGAATAATAGAACTTAGATTATCTATTTCCAGTTTGAAAATTATCTTCTCTTAAAAATAAATTAGAAGCCTATTTTTCAATACAAGAGCTATGGCATTAATAGTGATAGAATTCCATTTTTCACATTTTTGCACTGCCCTGAAGACATGAAGTACTGTTAATTTAAAAACAAGGCTGGCAAAAAACTTGAACAGAAGCAATACTTCTGTCTACGAAGTTTATGTAGAAAGATCATGAACTAATTATTTTCAAGGAACTCAGGATAAATGTTACAGCAAAAGTTCTCTCAAGAGCTGACAGAATGCAAACATGCTTCTATCTGCTATGGGAGCTGGACTAAGCACTCAATAAGGCAGCTGAATGAACAGCTAGCATGTACTATATGGCAAGTGTAACAGGATTTATCTGTTCCCAAAATGCCAATGCAAAAGAGTGTCACCTCTTCTGAATGACAAGCTTTAAATGAACAGCTATTTCAGATATTAGCAGCATACATCAGTAGTATGTGTGTGCTGATGTTCATGAACTTTCACTACATTTTGAAACTTGCATTAGTAGTGGGTCACTTTCTTTAAGTTTGTCAATATCCACTTGTACTCAAAATGCTCTTACTGCTGCTGTCCAGTGAACAGAAACTGAAAACATCCACTAATGATACCCGAACAAAGATAGCCTTCACTGGTGTGTTATTAGGTATCAGAGTATGTTTCAAAATCAGTATATGACATTAAGATAGACAGGCATATAAACACTTATATGCAATCCTTATCTCACTACAAATCCAAATCAGAGAAGTAAAACTATCAGCCTGTGTGTGTATGGAACAAAATACACTGTTATTTGATGAGTAATTTCTTGAGGTCTCACATGAGGATGCCAATTAAAACCCACTGGTTTCACACCTGAAGTGTCCACAACTGTGTCTGCCACATCTACATTAATGTGTGTAATAAGTACACTGTAGCAGTAACAAAATTCTATTTGCCACCATCACCCAGCAACAGTGTTCCCTGGCTGTGATTTGAAAACAACTAGAGGCCAAATTTAAAGTCTGTCAAGCATTTTCTGTCATCCCTTTTTTTCAGCATAAAAGAAAATAAACTCTGACTCTATCATGGAAGTGGATGCGCCGAGTAACAGTTTTATTCCTCTGTTACAGAAAATTTCCTAGGTCTGAAAATAAGATCTTTGATAGAGGTAGTGATTTCCTGGAGCTCTTTTCGAATGCTTTCTGCTCCTTCCTCCTCTTCCATGTTATCTTTTGTGTCACCATCTCCATGTTCAGTTTTCTTAGTTTGGCTGGTCAATTGTTTCACCACTAGTCCTTGGTACTTGACTATCAGTGAATGCTGATCCTGAAGGCAAAAAATGAGAACAAATCCAGGGGATGTCAATGTTACAGAGAAGGCAGACAGTCCTATAAATTAAGATGTAATTTTTTAAAAGCATTCTCCCATTCTTGGGCAAAAAGATTTAGTGATACAGAAATATATTTCTAATGAAGTATTTGACAACCTAAATTCTGAGAGACATTCAACGGGGCAGAAAACTGAAAGTGCATCCACGCTGCAAAAATAGGAAAATTAACCACTGAAGCATGAAAGCAATGTAGTTAGTAAACATCACCAGTTTTGGCAGTATAAAATACAGAATTTCACTGTATTTGCTTTTGAAGAGGTACATCTTTCTTTAAAACTAGATTAGAAAAATTTAAAAAGCAACCATACTTTAGCTCAGAGGAAAGACATAAAAAAGTTCAGTTTTAAGAATTGTTAACATCCCCCAAGACAGAACTGTCTCTATGGTTAAGTCAAAGGACTAACAATAGATTGATTTTTAATTCTATAAGAAAAGAAAATTGACGATAGATACCTGAAAAAGTAACTTTGCAATGCAGTACGGATAAGAGAAATTGTATATTCTGCACATAAAGTAATGTTTAGACATGAAACCAAATGGTGCCAGGTTTATGCAGCAAAAATAGTGTAAGGCACACCTTTCTGTCACAGAAAAAAGGTAATTTCCCATTAAAAAGCTATAGAAGAATACCTCTGGGATCTTGCCACTTAGGAAATTAATGATCTGTGGTACTGATCTTCCTGGTGCATGAAGCATGCAGTGAGTTGAAAACTGAAATAACAATACTGATGTCAGGTGCAGAACAAGAGCTGGGTCTTCTGTGACTTTGAGCTGTTCAATCAGAGCTTGTCTATGCTGAAACAGGACTTGCCTAAGGAACAAGAACATATTAAACAAAAATATGATTCGGTAATTCTCTTAAATAGTAGTTGGTCACATATACTAAAACTTATTTAACATCCATTAATTTTAATTTTCTTGTCAAATCATTTATGTGGAATTCCAAAACATTAATTAAAAAACAAAACAAAACAAAAATCCACCCAAAAGCAACCAACCAAACAACAACAACAACAACAACAACAACTATCACTGGCACAGCTCAGATTTTGAGAGACCCCTAGGGAATTTATACACTATATCAGAAAGTAGTGAGCCAACAAAATCAGCTAAATGTGAATTCTCTTCTTTCTCCTTCTCCTATGGATTTAGAACTGCTTGACTTTCTATTTTTAAGTTAAGCAGTTTGGAAAGAAGGACTGCCTCTTACACACTGAGTATGACTGCTCCCATATTAAGCATCTAGCATTTGTGCAGCAATATAGCCACATTTCATTCAATAAATAAAATTGAAGTACCTTTCCTTCTTTTTGTCTCCTTTTTTCACCATAATACCACAAATATCCACTGCAGAATCAAGGCACGAAAGAAAATCTTCTATACTCTATTAAAAAGAATAAAAATATTTAATCTGTGTTTGCAGATTATAAAAAAGTTTAACTACTGTTCACAATTAATCACACAAAAGATGACTGTGAATACACTTGAAATAAACTACACAAAAAAAGAGAAAGTAACATGTATTTAGTAGAAATTACCTTTGTTTGTCCTATAACAGTTCATATACCTAAATACTAACCCAAACTGTGATTCATTAGTCTTGGAAATAAAATGAAAAACGAATACACGTTCTACAATTATTTACAGATACACTTTTTATTGAGAAACACCTCAGT